TGACACACCCCTCACACGTTTCGTGGCCCCATAAAAAGGAGCTCCGCCCTGCCCCATTTCGGCACGGTTTTCACGCATTTCGTGCCCCATAAAAGGAGATCCACCGAAGGCGATACTAACAACGACGGTGTTCACAAGTGCGTATGGTCGGGTCCTTCGCCAGGCTAATTTTGTTCCTTGCCTCAGCCTCCCCAGCCTGCCATATTCCAGGAGGGCCGCCGGGCCATGTGCAAATCGCGATGCGCAGATTCAGCCCGACATCCGCGCATAACCAAGGAGGCGGACCTTGTGTCCATCGCCCTGCTGCCGGCGAGGCAGCCGCCAGGAGCAGGCGCGGGTCGATTTCGTCGCACCCACCCTCAGATCTGGGCGTCGCCAGAGAGTTGGTTGCCAAGGGAGGAAAAACCAGCCCGACCCCCATGCCTTGGCGTTTGCTATCCGGCCGTGGGCGGTTATTGCGCAGCACCCCCCCTTTTCGATCCCTTCCGTGGGCGCGTCGGCCGAACGACTTCGCGGGTCGGCGTGCTCATGATGAGGGTGGCTCTTCTGCCCTCTGCGGCGAGGGGCGATGGGGCGACGACGAGGGCGCGAGGGTGCGACAGGGCGACGCGGCGACGCAGCGACGACGAAACCACGACTGGGAGCTGGGTCGCCCCCGCGGGCGCGAAGATCGCCGCGCGCCGCGCGCCGCGGCCCGGGGCCGTGAAAATGTGCCCTTCGCCTGGGCGGCGGCACGAGGGCACGAGGATGCCCACGAGCCGCGCCCCGCGGGGCCGCGGCGCGCGAAGTCCGGCGGCCTGGGCGATCTTCGAGCCGAGGAGGAGGAGGAGCAGGCGGAGGAGGAGGAGGAGGAGGAGGGGGAGGAGGAGGCGGAGGAGGAGGAGGAGGAGGAGGAGGAGGAGGCGGAGGAGGAAGAGGAGGAGGAGGAGGAGGAGGGAGGAGGGGGAGGAGGGAGGAGGGAGGAGGGGCGGCGAGCTCTCACCCCTCGGAGGCGCCCGCCGCGCCGGGAGGGCTCGAGGCCGCGGCGGTGGCGCTGCTGGCGGTGGAGGCGCGCGCCGCCTCCACCCGCGGCAGGTCTCTCCGCCGCTCGGGCTCCTGCTCGGTCCCGGCGTTTTCCCTCGCTATCGGCTCTCGGGGGCCTCCTCCTCCTCCTCCTCCTCCTCGATTTCCGTCTCCAGTTCCTTCTCCAGTTCCTTCTCCTCCTCCTCCTCCTGCTCCTCCATTTCCTCCAGTTCCGTCTCCAGTTCCCTCTCCTCCTCCTCCTCCCTCCTCCTCCTCCTCCTCCTCCTCCTCTCCTCCTCCTCTCCTCCTCCTCTCCTCCTCCTCCCTCCTCCTCCTCCTCCTCCTCCTCCTCCTCCTCCTCCTCCTCCTCCTCCTCCTCCTCGGGCCAGCGTTTTCCTTATCAGGTCCCGGCGTCTTCCCTCGGTGTGGTGTCGGCCCTCGGGTTATGTCGGGTCTGTCCTCCTACATGGATTTTCGACGAAAAATATTATCCCGACAAAGCAACCTAACAGCGATGTGTAGAAGCATATATGGAAACATTCCCCTTAAGATCCAGATGAGAATCCAGTTGTAGAGTTCTGCTGTTCTCGCAGTCGCAGTCGCATTCGCGATGACAGTCGCAGTGGCAACGGCAGTCACAGTCACAGCCTCAGCCTCAGCCTGCCTCAGTATCAGCCTGCCTCAGCCTCAGCCTCAGCCTGCCTCAGCCTCAGCCTCAGCCTGCTTCAGCCTCAGCCTCAGCCTCAGTCTGCCTTCAGCCTCGGCCTCAGCCTCAGCCTGCATCAGCCTCAGCCTCAGCCTCAGCCTCAGCCTCAGCCTCAGCCTGCCTCAGCATCAGCCTGCCTCAGCGTCCCTCAGCCTGCCTCAGCCTCAGCCTCAGCCTCAGCCTCAGCCTCAGCTGCCTCAGCATCAGCCTGCCTCAGCCTCAGCCTGCCTCGGCCTCAGCCTCAGCCTGCTTCAACCTCAGCCTCAGTCTGCCTTCAGCCTCGGCCTCAGCCTCAGCCTCAGCCTCAGCCTGCATCAGCCTCAGCCTCAGCCTCAGCCTGCCTCAGCACCAGCCTGCCTCAGCGTCTGCCTCAGCCTGCTTCAGCCTCAGCCTCAGCCACAGCCACAGCCTCAGCCTCCGCCTCAGCCTCAGCCTCAGCCTGCCTCAGCCTCACCCTGCATCAGCCTCAGCCTCAGCCTGCCTCAGCCTCAGCCTCAGCCTCAGCCTCAGCCTCAGCCACAGCCTGCCTCATCCTCAGCTTCAGCCTGCCTCAGCGTCTGCCTCAGCCTGCCTCATCCTCATCCTCATCCTCAGCCTCAGCCTCAGCCTCAGCCTCAGCCTCAGCCTGCCTCAGCCTGCCTCAGCCTCAGCCTGCCTCAGCCTCAGCCTGCCTCAGCCTCAGCCTCAGTCTGCCTCAGTATCAGCTTGCCTAAGCCTCAGCCTCAGCCTGCCTCAGCCTCAGCCTCAGCCTGCTTCAGCCTCAGCCTCAGTCTGCCTCAGCCTCACCTTAGCCTCAGCCTCAGCCTCAGCCTGCCTCAGCATCAGCCTGCCTCAGCGTCTGCCTCAGCCTGCCTCAGCCTCAGCCTCAACCTCGCCTCAGCCTCAGCCTGCCTCAGCCTCAGCCTGCCTCAGCCTCAGCCTCAGCCTGCCTCAGCAGCAGCCTGCCTCAGCCTCAGTTGGCTACGGGCATTCAAAATGTGGCCCGGGAATGGAGTTCTGGGAACTCGAAGAGCACGAAGTGGCCTACAGTTGGCTCCGGGCATTCAAAATGTGGCCCGGGAATGGAGTTCTGGGAACTCGAAGAGCACGAAGTGGCCTACAGTTGGCTCCGGGCATCCAAAATGTGGCCCGGGAATGGAGTTCTGGGAAATCGAAGAGCACGAAGTGGCCTACAGTTGGCTCCGGGCATCCAAAATGTGGCCCGGGAATGGAGTTCTGGGAACTCGAAGACCACGAAGTGGCCTACAGTTGGCTCCGGGCATCCAAAATGTGGCCCGGGAATGGAGTTCTGGGAACTCGAAGAGCACGAAGTGGCCTACAGTTGGCTCCGGGCATTCAAAATGTGGCCCGGGAATGGAGTTCTGGGGACTCGAAGACCACGAAGTGGCCTACAGTTGGCTCCGGGCATTCAAAATGTGGCCCGGGAATGGAGTTCTGGGAAGTCGAAGAGCACGAAGTGGCCTACAGTTGGCTCTGGGCATTCAGAATGTGGCCCGGGAATGGAGTTCTGGGAGGTCGAAGAGCACGAAGTGTGTGACTGTTTGCGAAAAGCGCATTCGGACACGAGTTCGGACACAGCTCCCCGGATGCCGCCCAGACCTCCCTGTGGAGTCATCTGCTGCTCTCTTTTGACCCCACTAGAAACCTATCAGCAAAAGCTGTTAGGTAAAAAAATACCCCAATTATCCCGGCAAAGCAACCTAACAGCGATGTGTAGAAGCATATATGGAAGCATTCCCCTTAAGATTCAGATGAGAATCCAGTTGTAGAGTTTTGCTGTTCTCGCAGTCGCAGTCACATTCGCGATGACAGTCGCAGTGGCAGCGGCAGTCGCAGTCACAGCCTCAGCCTGCCTCAGTATCAGCCTGCCTCAGCCTCAGCCTCAGCCTGCCTCAGCCGCAGCCTGCTTCAGCCTCATCCTCAGTCTGCCTTCAGCATCAGCCTCTGTGCCTCAGCCTGCCTCAGCCTCAGCCTGCCTCAGTATCAGCCTGCTTCAGCCTCAGCCTCAGCCTGCCTCAGCCTGCCTCAGCCTCAGCCTGCTTCAGCCTCAGCCTCAGCCTGCCTTCAGCCTCGGCCTCAGCCTCAGCCTGCCTCAGCCTCAGCCTGCATCAGCCTCAGCCTCAGCCTGCCTCAGCATCAGCCTGCCTCAGCCTCAGCCTCAGCCTGCCTCAGCCTCGGCCTCAGCCTCAGCCTGCCTCAGCCTCAGCCTGCCTCAGCCTCAGCCATCAGCCTCAGCCTCAGCCTCAGCCTGCCTCAGCATCAGCCTGCCTCAGCCTCAGCCTCAGCCTGCCTCAGCCTCAGCCTCAGCCTTCAGCCTCAGCCTCAGTCTGCCTTCAGCCTCAGCCTCTGTGCCTCAGCCTGCCTCAGCATCAGCCTGCATCAGCCCCAGCCTCAGCCTCAGCCTCAGCCTGCCTCAGCATCAGCCTGCCTCAGCGTCTGCCTCAGCCTGCCTCAGCCTCTGCCTCAGCCTCAGCCTCAGGCTCAGCCTCAGCCTCAGCCTGCAGCCTCAGCTGCCTTCAGCCTCAGCCTCAGCCTCAGCCTGCCTCAGCATCAGCCTGCCTCAGCCTCAGCCTCAGCCTCAGCCTGCCTCAGCCTCAGCCTGCCTCAGCGTCTGCCTCAGCCTGCCTTCAGCCTCGGCCTCAGCCTTTGCCTGCCTCAGCCTCAGCCTGCATCAGCCTCAGCCTCAGCCTCAGCCTGCCTCAGCATCAGCCTGCCTCAGCGTCTGCCTCAGCCTGCATCAGCCTCAGCCTCAGCACCAGCCTTCCTCAGCATCAGCCTGCCTCAGCGTCTGCCTCAGCCTGCCTCAGCCTCAGCCTCAGCCTCACCCTCAGCCTCAGCCTCAGCCTCAGCCTGCCTCAGCCTCAGCCTGCCTCAGCCTCAGCCTCAGCCAGCCTCAGCCTCAGCCTGCCTCAGCATCAGCCTGCCTCAGCCTCAGCCTCAGCCTCAGCCTCAGCCTCAGCCTCAGCCTCAGCCTCAGCCTCAGCCTCAGCCTCATCAGCATCACCATTCTCAGCCTGTGCCTCAGCATCAAAATGTGGCCCGGGAATGGAGTTCTGGGAACTCGAAGAGCACGAAGTGGCCTACAGTTGGCTCCGGGCATTCAAAATGTGGCCCGGGAATGGAGTTCTGGGAAGTCGAAGAGCACGAAGTGGCCTACAGTTGGCTCCGGGCATTCAAAATGTGGCCCGGGAATGGAGTTCTGGGCACTCGAAGAGCACGAAGTGGCCTACAGTTGGCTCCGGGCATTCAAAATGTGGCCCGGGAATGGAGTTCTGGGGACTCGAAGACACGAAGTGGCCTACAGTTGGCTCCGGGCATTCAAAATGTGGCCCGGGAATGGAGTTCTGGGAAGTCGAAGAGCACGAAGTGGCCTACAGTTGGCTCCAGGCATTCAGAATGTGGCCCGGGAATGGAGTTCTGGGAGGTCGAAGAGCACGAAGTGTGTGACTGTTTGCGAAAAGCGCATTCGGACACGAGTTCGGACACAGCTCCCCGGATGCCGCCCCGACCCCCCTGTGGAGTCATCTGCTGCTCTTTTTTGAGCCTACTAGAAACCTATCAGCAAACGCTGTTAGGTAAAAACTCTCCCAAAAGGTACAAAAGATACTCAAGACATAGTCCCCAGATGATTTTTGGATCATTTTTTGATTATCTGGGGGGCATCTCTTAGTTTTCGCCGAACATCTCCCGGTAGGGGGACAGGCCCGACAGACCTCTCGGGGGCCGCTGGCGGGCCCCGGGGCCAGCTCGAGCGGGTCGGGGACGCCACGCTGCTCCCGGGGGGAGGAGTCGAGAGCTCCGTGGTCGCGGATCGGAGCAGTCGACAATGGGAGGGTGGCGGGGACGGCAGGGGCCGCCCCCCCCCCCCACCCAGGATCGCGGCGGTCCTCTGCGGGCTCGGGCGGTTCTCGGCGGGCTTCCCTGCGGTTCTCGGACTCTGTTTTTCCAGTCTCGGGATGCTTCCCTCGGAGGGCACCAACTATACACCTACACCGATCCAGCCCAGGCCGATCCTAGGCCCAGGATCGGTGTATATGCATTCTGCCCAAGGCAGGAGGGCGTATACACCGATCCTGGGCCCAGGGTGATCCTGGCCAGGATCGGTGTTGGTGTATAGTTGGTGCCTTCCTATTCCCAGCAGCTGTGCCTCGCCAAGGGCGTTCTGGGAGTGCCCAGATCGTCCCGAACTGCCGCCAGAGATCCGAGCTACGACCCAGCGACTGAGTCACCCACTCACCACCCACCAAACCACCCCGACCCAACCCGAAAGCCACAGTCTGACCTCCATTCCCGGTGGTGGGGGGGGGCGTCGGAGAGCATCGAAAATGCACGCGTGGAACTCTTTTCCCCCCAGACCGAAATTAGGGTCTTCGGGTTAGGTCGGGGTAGTCTGGTGGGCAGTCGCCCACAGGGGCGCGAAGATGAATGCGCTTCGCGCGTCGCGGTCTGGCCCAGCAAGTGGGTGGCTGCCCTTCCCCAAGGAGGCGGCGCGAGAGCGCGAGGGCCGCGAGGGCGTGAAGGTCGTCGAGCTACCTGGAAAAAACACTCGGACCTCCATGGTTCGCGTTTTCCAGGCCGCCCAAGTGGGGTCGAAGTAGGTAGGGGGTCGGCGGATCGTGTCGTGTCGCCGATGCATCGGCGATGCGGTTCGAGGTGGAGCCCGATTTTCTCCACTTCGCCGGCGCCGATGCGTCGGCGATGTATTCATTGATGGTGCGTCGGCGAGGCGGCGCGATCCTCAGACCACATGTGCTCGGATCCCGTTCGGGTGGCCTCCACGTTTAAAGTATTGCGGGGCGTTCGCGAAGCAGCGCTTTGTTCGATTTCTAGTAGCGGTGCTTATTCTCGTGTGGGTGGTTCTTCTGCTTTCTCTCGATGAGGACATCATGCGGAGAAGCAACCTTCGGATGTCTGCGCGCACCTGCCGTGTGCCGGCATGGGCCTTGGTAGGACCCCGCGGTGTGCTGGTGGTGGACCGTACCGCGTTGGTGCAAAACCTGGCGTTCTCGGTTGGATATCGGGACGGGCCGCCGGTTTTTTGGTACCCCTTCTCGGCGCTCCTGGCGTCACCCCAACATACTTAGACTTATACTAATATGTGCGTCGCCCCCCCGGGGGCGATGCGCGCACCGAGAAATCTTATAGTGTATGCGTCGTGGCGGGCGCATTCTGGCCACCCCGCTCTGGAAGCGATATACTACAAGATGGGTATACTACATGTCCGGGTCGGACGCGCGCCTCCAAGGATAACATGTAGTACTAGTACGTTTTTGTGCATCCCATGGCTCGGCCCGCATCCGCCATTCGCAGAACACATCAACCGCTGCCTGCGGCGAGCGGAGCTCGGCGGCGCCGTACTGCGGCGGCGAATTTTTCATCAGTTGCAGAGTCCAGCGTGCCAACCCAGTGGTCTTGCAGCAGGCGCCAACGGTCTGGACGCCCGAAATGGGTACTGAAAGAATGGGTACAATGCCCAACAACAATTCCTGATCATTTTGAACAGGACTCGCTGTCCGCGCCGCCGCGGCCCGTGTCCATTCGAGACAGAAGGCCGCCTGCCCAACAGCGGCCGCTGTTGGCTTGGGACAACATTTGTTGTTGGGCATGGTGCCCATTCTTTCCGTACCCATTTCGGGCGTCCAAAAACGGGCCGGCTCGAGGGTGCCGTGCGTGGCCTCTCGAGCATGCCATCGGCGCGCCCAGCGGGTGCCTCGTGCAGCTCTGCCGCGCGCCTTCCGCAGCTCGGCCTGCAGCTCCCGCCGAGGCCCGAGCGGTGGTGCCGCTTCGCCCAAGCGCCTCCCTGTGCTCGGGCGTGCTGGCGTGTCAGTGCCAACCAGCTCAAGGCGTTGCGGGTGCCGGCGCGCCAGCTATATCTGTTCTGCGCGGGAGCTTCTCCGTAGCAGGCACTTCGCTCACCTCACGTCGGCGTCACCCCAACATACTTATACTATATGCGCGTCGCCCTCCCAGGGGCGACGCGCGCACCGAGAACTCTTACAGTGTATGCGTCGTGGCGGGCGCTTTCTGGCCACGCCGCTCGGGAAGCGATATACTACAAGATGGGTATACTATATGTTCGGGTCGGACGCGCGCCTCCAAGGCGGACATATAGTACAGTCGGCCCGGATTAGCAGGTCGACCCTGCCAAATCAAGGGTATGTACCTTTGTGTCCTGTGTCTCGCGACCCGCGCCTCCTGCATTCCCATGGCAATGTGGCCCTTGGAAGGGAATGTGGCCCTCGGAAGGGTCTCGTGTCCTCTCGCGTGTCCTGTCCAATCGAGTCTGACTGTATTAGTCTGTCTCTGTGCGACCCATCACGGATGCGTGCGGATTTCCCGAGCGTCACGTGCCGCGGCCGCCTTTGCGGGCGAGTGTCCGCCGGCCGGGGCCGGCTTCGGCGCTATGTTCCTGCGGTGCTTCTGCCCCCAGGCGGCGAGGTGCTTCTGCCTGCTGCCAGCGAGGGGCCCTGGAGGACGGCCTGCCGCGGCTGCTGGGGGAGCTGCTGCCTCCTCCTGCTCCTCCTCCTCCTCCTCCTCCTCCTCCTCCTCCTCCTCCTCCTCCTCCTCCTCCACTCCCCCCAGGCGCTGCTGGAGGAGACGGCTTGCCGCGGCTGCTGGGGCTGCTGGTGTTCGCGTGCCAGTGCGGAGATGGTCAAACGTGCCGAAGGCAGCGTGTTCGCGCCAGTTGCCGATGCAGGCTGAGCCGGCACGCGATCGCGCAGCCCGCCCAGGTGGAATGGGATCGGCTCGAGCATGCCGTCGATCAGGAGCAGCGGCTCCCGCCGCTCTGCTGGGGCGTGCTCTGTCGCAGCGTTTGAAGACTGCCCTGCTGCTTCTGTGGCAGAGTCGAGCGCTTCGAACGCAGCGTCGTCGAAACGCCCGGCGGTCAACAAAACTTGTGCACTGTGCGAAGAGGCAACTCCGTTACCAGCTCGTCTGCGCGCGCGTCCACAGGCCCAGAAGCACGCTCGGCAACGTCGAGCGGCTGCGGTGGCAATGCGCCGCCCTCGCTCCCCGGCAGCGAGGCCTCGCCTTCGGCAGGTGCCGAGCTGGGGCTGCGGACCGCTGCCGGCGCGGGGCTGCTTGCTCGCGCTTGCGCGCCGCTGCTCCCACGCGAGCGTCCCGCTGGCATGGCAGGGGGCCCGCTGCCTTCCGCTCGCTGCGGCCGTCTGAGGTCGACCGGCTGCGGGCGTGCGGGCTTGCCTCACCGCGGCTGCGTGGAGGCAGGCGGCGGCCGGGCCTGCTGGTCCGTGGCAGGCGGCTGCCGGGGGGCATGCTGGAGCTGCCTGCCTGGGCTCCCTCCGGCATCGTGGCGGGGCGCCAGTTGTTTCATGGCGCCAACATCGCAGACCGGATGTCGTTCGGGCAATCATTGGATGGGCCTGGATGATCCTGGAGAACTTCGTTCCGGATTTCGATGTGAATGTCGTGTTTTTTTGGCCAGGAGTGAAGACTACAAGCAATCCACGTGAAATTCATTTCGTTTTTCGCTCGCCGTTTCGGGTTTTGGCTGCAGTGACAGAAATCCATGCAAAAATCCGCTGCAGCACGTCTGCAATCGTCTGCAAGGTCGGTGCAGTGAGCAGTTGGCATGCTCGGGGGCCCCCAAGCGGTGTGCGGACCGCGTGGTGAGTCAGCGGGGATTCGGGATCACCTTGTGATTTTGGGACTCGGGTCGTTCTCCGAGGACGTCTCTGGCGACTGGGGTGCCAGAACCATGCGGTGACGGACCCTGCGGTGATGTCGTTGGGAATTCCGAGGTCACCTTGCGGTCCGTCGCCACACAGTTTTGGGCCCCAAACATGGGGGACATGCTGCGGGCTCGTGGCCAGTCGTCTCAGCATGCAGTGAGCTGCCCTGGACGCCTTCGGCGAGGCCAGGGTCCCCGTGCTGACTCCATACCGGCCTCCATGTCCGAACAGCTTCAGTGCGCACATTTCGGTTTTGCAGTTGACCATGGTATATCTCCAGGAACGCTGCGCCTGCATTCATGTCGTCTCCGATGATGTATGCGTCGTGTCCGACGACCAGGGGCGGGTCTCTCGAATCTGTGTTCTAAAACAATATCATCAGAAGACAGCGATGCTGCGCACCTTACAGGTGCGGTGTCCTCGAGGGCGCGTGCACGTTGATGATGTTGGCGCCGTTGTTGCGGGGAAGCGCAGGTGTTGCCACGAATCCCGCAGAATCGGGTAAGCGCTGCTGCAAGCGACAATACCTGGGCGGTGCACTGCTGCCATATTTTCCGGCATCAAGGGTGTCTGCACGCGGCCGACCTCGTACAGGCATATGACAGCTTGCCTGGATTCTTGCTCGATCCTGCACAGCCGCCCCTTGATTTCACCGCACGATTTCACCACACATTTCATGACACGACGCCTAGACCACAGCTTACACCACATAACTCACACATCTTTCACCATACAGCTTACGCAACATGTATTGCATCACGTAGCTCCCGTGGTTCACACTGCAATAACTTACTGTATTGGGTCCACGCTGGCAAGCCTCCTGGCAAATGTTAGGATTCCTCAGCACGTGGTGCTTCATTAACGTCGAGGCACGCCGACACAGTGCCCAGATCGAGTCAAAGCCTGTCCCTCCTCGACTTCACCTCCTCCGTCTCCTCCTCCTCCTCTTCCTCCTCCTCCTCCTCCTCCTCCTCCTCTTCCTCCTCCTCCTCCTCCTCCTCCTCCTCCTCCTCCTCCTCGTCCCCTGCCGCGCGCGCCGAGGCGCTACTCGACACGGACTTCCGCGCTGCGGAGGAGCCCCCCCCCGGGGGACCCCGGCGGAAGTGGACGAACAACGTCGGCAACGAGGTGTGGGAGCCCGGGGCGCAGCCGGCAGACGCGACCGCGCACGCCGCCATGGAGGGGGGGGGAAGGAGGAGGAGGAGGAGGAGGAGGAGGAGGAGGAGGAGGAGGAGGAGGAGGAGGAGGAGGGAGGAGGAGGGAGGAGGAGAGGAGGAGGAGGAGGAGGAGGAGGAGGAGGAGGAGGAGAGGAGGAGGAGGAGGAGGAGGAGGGAGGAGGAGGGGGGAGGGGTTGGGAACCCATGGAGGGGGGTTGGGTCCGATGCCGTTCGCTTCGCGGTTCTGACTCGATCCGGTTCGGCCCGATTCGCCGCCAGCGGCAGTGGCCAGCCGGAGTCGGGCGCGGCAGTCCGATTTCCATTTGATCCTTGACGATTCTCTGGCGGTCCGACCCGTTTGCGATCCGATGCGACAGGCCTCGGAAAGAAATAGCGAACACTCATGCCACATTCATCTGTGAACGCCTCCCCCTCCCCCCAGTGCTCAAAGTTGGCGGTGGGTCTGATGAGCTGCACCTCGACCGCAGTTTCCCCCGCGCGCGCCAACGTTGAGTTTGGGGGGCAGGGGGGGCGTTCACTAATTGTTTCCCTCTACCGGATTTCGCGGCTCGATTCCGCTCAGGCCTGCCAGATGGATTCCCCAGAAAATGTGTAAAATATGGGAAGTGGGGGGGAAGACAGAAACCCAGAAAATATAGGATAGTATGGGGAATCTTGTTATTTGTGTCTATTTATTTGTGTGGGTCCCAGTTCCCCTTCGAGATCTCCAGGCGTCGCGAAGCGGCTCACGGCGGGCGCTTTTTCTCCCTCGGCGTGGCCCTCTTTGGCAGGCCCGCCCGGAGCACGGGGAGCCTTCGGAAGAGCACACACGGGGGTGGCGACCGCTTCCGCCGCTTCGGTGTCGGTGGCGCGTTTGGGGCCCGCGCCGTGAGGAGGCAGCCACGACGCCAGAGGTGCAGTGGAGGCCTAGAAATGGGCACCAACACCAACACAGGGGGCTGCATCCACGTGGGGAATATGATCCTAGATTTCGGTGCTGGTGGTGATCTTTCGGCCACCTAGAAAGCCCGAATATTACCACCATCACCTGGATCGGGATCATCTTCCCTCGGCGGAGGCACACCGCCGATATTGGCGTTGGTGTCAACCTCTAGGCCTGGAGGCAACCCCTGATGTTGGTGTTGGTGCCAATTTCCAAGCTTCCAAGTGGGGGCCCATGCCAAGAGACACCCTGCTCGCCTCCAGGGTGCCCTGGGTTTCTCTCTCGGGTTTCGATGGTTTTGCGACGGAGGGCGCGCCGGTCCCGCACCAAGAGTCAGTGGACGTGCTGGGGCATCAGGGTGGGGCTTCTTGCGGAAGGTCTCCTGTGGAAGGGCCCCCACTGTAATGGAGAGGGGAGGGGAGGGGACGGGAAGGGTTGGGGGGCTCATGTCGATGGCCGGTGGGAAGGGCGAGGGGGCCCCTGCCCAGCTTCTCGCGCGAGCTGGCCGTGACCTGCAGGCTCAGGAGGGAGATCGCTTGCCCAGGCGGCGGTCCGTCGGCCCCAGGCGGTGGGGCCTCCCGAGGCGTGCACTGGTCGGGGGAGCCCGGCGTCGACGGCCTCCTCCGCGGAGTGCGGTGCACAGCAGCACTCCTCCTCCTCCTCCTCCTCCTCCTCCTCCTCCTCCTCCCCCTCCTCCTCCTCCTCCTCCTCCTCCTCCTCCTCCTCCTCCTCCAGCACCAGTTTCGGGTCGGGCATGTCCCCCTGCGGGCGGATCTCGGGCGAAGAACAGGAAAGTGCGCCCAAGGGCAGGCAATAAGTGAAAGCATCGTCCCCAGATTATTTCTGCATACTCCCCCTGTGGAGGGACACGCCCGACTTAACACCAGTGCCACCAGTTGGATGGGGAGGGGGTCCTCCTCCACCTCCTCCTCCTCCTCCTCTTCGTCCTCCTCCTCCTCGTCCTCCTCCTCCTTCCCCCTCCAGCTTCTGGTGGTGGTGGTGGCAAACAAGCCCACCACGAAGCGTTTTGGTGAGGCAAGGGCGGTCCTGACCCACACCCCGTCGAGTCGCAGACGCTTCGGTCAGTGCTTTTCACCTTTTCGGTCCTCGGATCGCGGCTCACGGACAAGCCAGGAGGCGACATGCGCCCGGCTCTGGGCCCACGCTGGGCCTGAGGAAGCCCGGCGGTGCCGATCGGTTCCCCCCCCGCCCGTGGGGGGGAGGTCGGGACCAGGAATGTGCGGAGAGGGAGTGGGACAATGACGATGATGACGACGACGACGATGATGACGATGATGATGATGATGACGCTGCTGATGACGATGATGCTGATGACGATGATGATGCTGATGATGCTGCTGATGATGATGCTGATGACGATGATGATGATGATGATGACCATGATGATGCTGATGATGATGACGACGGTGATGATGATGCTGATGATGACGATGATGCTGATGATGATGGTGCTGGTGATGCTGCTGATGCTGATGATGCTGATGACGATGATGATGATGATGCTGATGATGATGGTGATGATGATGATAGTGATGATGATGGTGATGATGATGATGATGATGATGGTGCTGGTGATGCTGATGCTGACGCTGATGCTGATGAGTATCATTACAATGCTGATGAATGATGTTGATGATGCTGTTGATGCTGATGTTGATGCTGATGCTGATGCTGATGCTGATGATGACGCTGACGATGCTGATAGTGATGCTGCTGATGATCATGATGCTGGCGCTGCTGATTATGATGGCGATGTTGATGGTGATGTTGATGGTGATGATGATATTGATGCTGATGATGCTGATGATGATGCTGACGATGATGATCATGATGACTATGATGATGATGATTCTGATGACGATGATGATGACGATGATGCTGATCACGATGATGAGGCGGATGATGATGCTGCTGATGATGATGCTGACGACGATGATGATGATGATGATGATGATGATGATGATGATGGTGCTGACGATGATGGTGCTGCTGATGCTGATGCTGATGCTGATGCCGCTGCGGATGATGCTGGTGATGCTGATGCTGATGAATATGATGATGATGCTGCTGATGCTGCTGATTATGATGATGATGCTGATGATGATGCTGATGGTGATGATGCTGATGATCATGACGCTGGTGCTGTTGATGATTACTTCGATGATGATGCTGATGATGCTGCTGATGATGATGATTCTGCTGATGATGCTGACAATGATGATGATGCTGATGATGATGATGATGATGATGATGATTATGATGACGATGGTGATGATGATGACGCTGATGATGATGATGATGCTGCTGCTGATGATGATGCTGACGATGATACTGCTGATGCTCATGATGCTGACGACGATGATGATACTGACGATGATGATGATGATGATGATGATGATGATGATGATGATGATGATGATGATGACGATGCTGGTGATGCTGATGATGTTGCTGATGCTGATGCTGATGTCGCTGCTGCTGATGATGATGAATCTGATGATGATGACGATGATGGTCATGCTGATGCTGATGCTGATGATGACGCTGATGGTGATGATGATGATGATGATGATGAGGATCATGATGATGGTGTTGATGATGATCACGATGATGATGATGTTGATGCTGATGATGATGATGATGATGATGATGATGATGTTGCTGATGCTTATGATGCTGACTATCATGATGATGCTGATGATGATAATGACGATGATGACGGTGAGCATGATGATGATGACGATGATGATGACGATGACGGCGATGCCGATGATGATGATGACGATGATGGTGGTGCTGATGATACTGCTGCTGCTGATGATGATGATGATGATGATGCTGACGACGACGATGATGATGATGATGCTGACGATGATGCCGATGCTGCTGCTGCTGATGCTGATGCTGATGCCGCTGCTGATGACGCTGATGCTGATGATGCTGCTGATGATGATGACGCTGAGGATGATGATGCTGATGGTGATGATGCTGATGATCATGATGCTGTTGCTGCGGATGAAGACGACGATGATGATGATGCTGATCACGATGATGCTGATGATGACGACGATGATGATGATGATGCTGATGATGATGATAATGATGATGATAGAGATGAGGCTGATGCTGATGCTGATGCTGATGCTGATGACGCTGCTGATGATGACGATGATGAATGTGATGACGCTGCTGATGACGATGCTGATGACGATGATGACGATGCTGATGATGATGATGATGATGATGAGGATGATGATGATGATGATGATTTTTATGATGATGATGCTTAGTATGACTATGGTGATCATTGTGCTACTGCTGCTGATGATGATCATGATGGTGTTGATGATCATGGGGATGATGATGATTGTGATGATAATGATGCGGCTTGTGCTGATGATGGTCATGATGCTGCTGCTGACGATGCTGATGATGCTGATGATGATGATAACGATTATGATGCCGCTGACGATGATGACGATGCTGATGCTGATGATGATGATGACGATGATGATGATGATGATGATGATGATGATGATACTGATGCGGCTGCTGCTGATGATCATGATGATGATGACGATGATGATGGTGGTGATGATGATGAGTATGATGGAGATGGATATGGTGAAGGTGATGCTGATGATGATGATGCTGATGATGACAGTGATGATGGTGCTGCACCTGATGCTGATGCTGATGCTGATGCCGCTGCTGCTGATGATGATGATGATGAATATGATGATGTTGATGATGATGATGCTGATGTTGATGCTGATGCTGATGCTGATGCTGATGATGACGCTGATGATGATGCTGATGCTGATGATGCGGATGATCAATATGCTGGTGCTGGTGCTGCTGATGATGACGGCGATGACGACGCTGATGATGATGTTGATGATGGTGATGCTGACGACGATGATGCTGATGATGATAATGATCATGCTGAAGATGATGATGGTGATGATGATGATGATGATGATGACGATGGTGATGATGATGCTGATGATGATGATGGGGCTGATGCTGATGCTCATGCTGATGTTGATGCTGGTGCC